CCTGCTCTGGTCACGTGGCTGCCCGGCTCCAGAGCCTTCAACAGTCTGCAGGATGAGGCCCAATGCACCTCACGCCATCCTCTTTCACACGCACCGTGCTCTTTTCTCGGGGGTGGGCGCATCCCTCTGCCCAACTACAAAGAATCAGACCCTCTTTTCCTGCAAGGTTCAGCTCAGAGACCATTGCGTCCCAGAAGCCTTAACTATCCTGTCCCCCACGTTCCACCCCAAAACAAAACCAGAAACCTTGCCCTCCTGCACATGCCATACTCAATGGAGGCCTCCCTACACCACGCAGCTCTTTCTTCCTTTTATCCCAGACACTGGTGTGCTTGTCTAATTCCCACCCTAGCACAGGGGTTCGGGGGTGGGGGGTCCCTAGGTCTATCTTGTCTCTGCACCCCTCCCCCACCCCCCAGCACATGACACAGACCCCGGTTCACGGTCAGCACTGAGGAAGGACATGGGCTGCCTGTCCTCCGCCCGTGCCGTCTCTGCACGGTGTCCCTGAGCACGGCACTTGCACACACACCCCCGTTCACAGGCAGACAGATGCCCCCGCGTGGCAGCAGGCAGACACTCACTCTTCTTGCCATCCGCATCCTGATGCATCTTCCGAGCCAGGATGCCCTGCTTGTAGGTGGGCACCGTGGGGTCCTGGACCAGCTGGAGGAAGGGGTTGCCTATCTTGCCAGCCAGGGGAGACGGCTGGGCCTTCTCGGGCCTGGCTGCGTCTTCATCCCTGGACATCAGAGAATCAGGCTGGGGGTGCTGACTGGCCAGAGGCCATCAGGAGGTGCCCACCACCACCTCAGGACCCCCATCCTCTCTCTCCTGCTGGGCAGCCACACCTCAGGACCCCCACCCCCGGAGAAGTCCTCCTCCAAAGGCAACCCATCACTCCCCACCATCCCCATACCCTCGCCACCTCTGGCTCCTCAGGTGTTCCCTGGCCCACTGCCCCGCCTCCGGCTCCACCCACGCAGAGGGGAGCCCTGTCCAGGGGCCCAAGTTCTCCAACTCAGGTGGGTGGGTGGAGGGAGGGCAGGGGAGAGGGAGGGGAGGCAAGATGGGTCTCACTTACACCGCCCACTCGAGCTTCTCACTTCGGATAGACCAGTAGAGGGCCTGGAACAGAAACATACAGGTGGGCCCGGGAGCCTCGGGCCGCGGGGTGCACATTCTGTCTGGCAGAGGTAGGACGGGCATGCTGCAGCCTGCCGCCTCCACCCCGATGTAGCTGCCCTTCTGCCCCGAGCAGGAAGCAGCCCATGCATCCGCGCGTCCATGCACACATGCAGCAATGTACGGGGCATGTGCCATGTGCCGAGCACTGGGAGCTTGAGACACAAGGATGATCAAAGCCATCCTCGTCCTTACTTGAGCTTAGCGAGTCCTGAACCAGTTCCCTTGAAGGGGAAACGAATCACCCACATACCATCCTGCCCAGGGGGATCTGACACAACAGGAACAGCTGACTACAGGGGCAGTCAGTGTATGGCGAGTGAATGAACCAACGAGGTGCTGTGACTTTGAAATGACATGACCAAGAGTTCTCATATCAGTGTGGCTGGCTGGCTTCTGTAGCCCTGGCCACGCCCAGTGGGGCACCGGGCACCTAGTAAGTGTTCAGTTAATGTTCACTGACTGGACAAGAGAATAAATGCTCTAACTGCTTAGGAAAGCAGACTGTGGGCCAGGCCCTGGCCTAAGCAGGTTGTGATAACAACCCTGTAACGTGGTCACTCACCCTGGAGGAACTTGCCTTGGCCAAGGAGTGAGCTGAATTCAAACCCTGGAACCTCTGTCCCCCGAATCCTAGCTCTAGACTTTTACCACTTGAAGCTCTGCCCTGAGAAACAAAAACCCAGGCCTTCCCAGGCCTAAGGATCACCCAGAAGCATGACGGAACATTGTAGGGGCCCAGCCTGAGATTCTGATGCAGTAGGTCCAGGGCGGGGGGCGCCTGTGAATTCACACAAGCTAATAAATTCCAAGGTGATGCTGATACAGCTGGCCCGGGGCCCACACTTTTCGTTCCCTTCAGTAAGGAAGGCCTGTCCTCTCAAGGACGTTTCGGCAAAGCCGGGCGTGAGCTCACGTTGCCCTTGGGACAGAGAGCTAAGGTTCCGGGCCCCTGAGCAGCCCCCGTGCCGTACCTTGAGCAGTTCCTTGGGGAAGTTCCCGCCGTCCCTCAGGCCATTCAGGTTGGTGATGAATTCCTGGCAGCTCATGCTCTTCCCGATGTTCTGTGGCCATGTGGACAGGGGTGTCGCTGGCACACGTGCCCGACCCCGACAGAAGGAGCCCCGGCCGGCTACTCCGAGCCTTCCCCCAGGTCCCCGGGGCCCTCCCTGACCCCAACCCAGGCCTCCGTTCCCCTTTTCCAGGAGCCCCAGGCTCTCACCTGTCCGTGCAGGTCCGTGTTAAGCAGCATGATGGCGCAGGTCAAGGTGTGCACGCAGTCTGCCCCCCAGAGAGAAAGCTCGTTGGAAGCGGGACTCCTGCATTTCCTCTGCCCACCCTGGGCAGGGTGACCCCCAAATGCTTCTGGGCCCCCAGAGCGCCCCCAACACACTCCCACCAGCCACCACCCAGTGAAGCCCCGAGCAGACTGGGGACACTTCCCTGCCATCCTTCTGCCCGGTCCCCCCGGAGGGCCGGCGTCTCCCTACCTACTGAGGAAAAGAGCCCAGGGTTGCAGCGATGGAAGCGCTTGGAGAACTGGTAGAGAACCCGCTCGCGCTCCTGCGTCTCCCCACTGAGCACCAGGGCGCGGAGGAAGCCCCTGCAAGGAGGGCCAGGGTCCAGGCAGAGCCCAGCAGCCCCAGAGCTCAGGGCCAATCAGATTCCGGCCCTGCCGGTGGCGCCACTGCCCCCCACCATCCCTCCCTCCTCCCCAGAGAAGGCCCCCAGCTGTTACCGGAGCGCACGGTCCAGGCTCTGGCCTCCGAACTGGAAAAGGGACAGGTAGCTCTCGGCCACCATCGTGCTGAAGTCGTCGCTGTGGAGGCAGAGTGGGGATGAGGCCCGCTTTGGGGCTCTGGACTGGGGGCCCCGGGGCCTGCACATATCCTGGGGCCCGACGGGGACTGGGGCGGGGGTGCGATCAAGGGAGAGGCACAGCCAGGCGGGACCCTGGTTCCCAAGAGGGCACTGGCAGCCATCCGACGCTGAGTGGGAGGGACATGGGTTTGGGGTGGGGGAGGCGGGTCGCCGGGTCCGGCGGCTCTAAGCAGGGGTCGAGGGTGACGCGAGTGTGACTAAGAGGGAGAGGCGGGCATGGCAAGGGTCTGGGGGCAAAGGGGAGAGGGGTGCAGTGGGCGGGACAGGGATGAAGGCTTGAGAGGTCAGCGGTCGGGCTGGGGGGACACGGGCGGGCAGGGAGCCCACTGGCTGCTTCCCTTCCTGACTCGACCTCGGCCTTTTGCTCAGGTTCCAAGCCCCTTACTTCTTCCGCAGGTAGGCGGCCACTTCGGACTTCCGGAAGCCCTCCAGGCGATAGAGGCGGGAGGCCAAGTTCCAGGTCACCTTGTCGGTCCTGACGCCATTCTCCAGCTTGCCTCCAGCTGGTGGCCTTTGGCCTTCGTCTGGGGGCTGCGCGTGGGGCGTGGGGCTCTCAGGAAGCCTGCGAAAGTCCATCAGTGACCTCAGACTCCCACTTGGGATGGACACAGAGGAGCTCAGGGTCAAGCGTCCTTGAGGTCAGTCGTAGGGGCGGGTGTGCTCAGAATTCCACGCCCAGAGCTCAGGGCAGGAGCTGGAGCTCCAGGGCCTCGTGTGGCCGGGGAAGAGCCGGACCAGGGCCTCTCCCAAGGGAGAGGCAGGGTCACAGCCTGCCTGGCCTGACATGGGCACCAGGAGGGCCCAGAGAGGGCAGTATTCACACGAAGCTAGCAAGGGCTGGAGCGGAGCTCGGTACCAGCACTTCCAAAGGTAAACCACAGGGATGTTCTGAGCCGAGTTCACCCCAGGTGGCAGGTGCAGCCCTTTGAAGACCCCAGTGGTGTTTAGTCCTTCCCAAGGAGGGGTGGGAATACCTCCCCAAATGTCAGCAGCCACTTGTGTCCCTCACCTGTCCTGCCCGCCCCATCATGCCTCCTTGCCGCCCTTCCCCTCCCCCAGCTCCAGCCTCCAGCCTCCACCCCTAGACCTGGAGCCAAGGAAGGTGCAAGGATGAAGCAAGAACGGAAGGCGAGACCAGCTTTAGGGACGGTGACAGCTAGGGTTGCCACAGATGGTTTCCAACCCCTGCCTTCCTGTACCGCCAGCCCTGTGGTATAGGGGGCCTTCCAGCAGCGGCTTTGGATGGTGCCCTGCAGAGGGTGCACAGGCCCCAGCAAGCCTCACGGTAGGCTCAGAGAACACTCAGAATCTCAGAAGTCACCCAGCCCCATCTCTACCTGACTCTTGCGTTTCCCCTGCAACATTGCAACCAGGTATCGGGGTTTCCTCATTAGTGGAACAGTCATCACCCAGGTTACTGCAGTTAGGGAGTTGTACAGATAAGAAAACTTATCACGGTATGAAAATGTTCACCGACAGACTACCCACTTATAAAATGCAGCTGCACTTGACAGCCCTTTCCACTTAACACAAATGTACGTCTCTGCCCCCAACTGGGTCAGCGTCTTTGCTGGTAACTTCTCACTGCTTCCTGAGGCTCATCCACATCCAACAAGGCAGAGCAAACATAATGGAAACCAACTGAAAAGTGAAATTACAAATCTTGCCAGAAAGGATTTTGTGAAGGCCGCGAAAATGACGCTGCAAGATTCCAGGGATCACCTGGGAAGCCCCTGACGAGTGAGGAACGGGAAGAATTAGAGGAGAAAATAACAATAATGACACGCTTGTCACATCTAAAGAGAACTACTTAGATTGTCAGCTGACAAAGCCCTCAAATACTTTTACAAAAATGACCTAGTCAGGGCTTCCCTGGTGGCGCAGTGGTTGAGAATCTGCCTGCTAATGCAGGGGACACGGCTTCGAGCCCTGGTCCGGGAAGATCCCACATGCCGCGGAGCAACTAGGCCCGTGAGCCACAACTACTGGGCCTGCGCGTCTGGAGCCCGTGCTCCGCAACAAGAGAGGCCGCGATAGTGAGAGGCCCGCGCACCGCGATGAAGAGTGGCCCCCGCTCGCCACAGCTGGAGAAAGCCCTCGCACAGAAACGAAGACCCAACACAGCAAAAATTAATTAAGTAATTAATAAACTCCTACCCCCAACATCTAAAAAAAAAAAAAAAAAAATGACCTAGTCAGTGAGTGTTGTTACTAAAATAATATCTAGATGGGAAGGCACTTTGAGGAAAAAAACCCCACAGGGCAAATATAAATTGGTATGGAATTGTATAGTTTAAATGGATGGATTGTATAGTATGTGAATTATATCTTAATAAAGCTGATATAAAATAAAATAAAATAAAATAGGACTTCCCTGGTGGTCCAGTGGTTAAGACTCCGCACTTCCACTGCAGGTGGCATAGGTTCGATCCCTGGTTGGGGAAGTTCCACATGCCACCTCAGTGCGGCCAAAAATAAAAAAATAAAATAAAATGATAAATTAAAGAGACCCTATGACCTCACTGTGAAAGTTAAGGATGAATGAAAGACATCTCACTGGGCCACCAAATTAGGCCAGGAAAATTAATCTCCTATAGTGTATTAAATATAAGATTAAATAAATCTACTTATGTAATATTTAGTGCCATTTACCAAGAAAAGCATCAATTAAACCTTTTTTCATTATTTACTATGAAAGTATGGTTCTCATTTTAGGTGGATTTACTTTTTTTTTTTTTTTTTTGCGGTACGCGGGCCTCTCACTGTTGTGGCCTCTCCCGTTGTGGAGCACAGGCTCCGGACGCGCAGGCTCAGCGGCCGTGGCTCACGGGCCCAGCCGCTCCGCGGCATGTGGGATCTTCCCGGACCGGGGCACGAACCCGCGTCCCCTGCATCGGCAGGCGGACTCTCAACCGCTGCGCCACCAGGGCAGCCCGGATTTACTTTTGTTTGGGGTTGAATTAACTTTAATTTTGGGTGTCACGAACCCTCTCTTTTTAGATACTGAGAGACTCTTTGGATTAGTCTGGGCTTCTTCAGGGACAGTGTAGCTTTCCAGCTGCAGAAGGAGGCTTCTTTGGTTTCTTTGGTCTCTCTGGTTTCTGGCACTGCCTGGGGTTCACCATCACCCAATGACTTCGAGATCGGAGTGGAGTTAACCTTCCAGTTAGTCCAACACTAGGTCCACGACCTGAACCATCACTAGTTTCCCCTGGTCTCTTTCGTATGACCCCTATTTGGCCAACAAAACCCCTTCCCCATGTAGAGATCCTAGGGGCTGACAGCCTTCATGCAGCATCCTTGGGGCAGGTGGACATCTAGGATGGTTTCCAGTTGGACTATTCCTACCCCTGGTCACAGTTCTAGGGTTACTTAGTCCTGCTAGGGACCCCAAGATCCACCATTCCTTTGGTCCCAATCAAACCTCTCCTTGCTGCTGCAGCTTCCCCTGAGATCCGAGTCAGCGCCCTGGGCCTCCCAGACACATCCTCAAATTCAAAGCGGCATGTAATCCCCACATCACAAGCTCTGACCTTCCCTCTCCCCAGACCTGCCTAGCATGGCCCCCATTTTTCTGGGCACATGGCCTTGGTCAGGTCAGGTTCGCTGCACACACCCCTGGTCCTCTCCGGGTGTCCAGCCGTGGGCACGTCTCCCTAGCTCTGCCTCGACACATTCAAGTCCTGCCCCACGTGGATGACCGTCTGCTCTTTGGTTTCTTGTGCTACCAGACCCTCCAGTCATATAATCCTGGCCTCATAGATATTAGTATGTTAAGTCCCAATGTGCTTTTCTCACGTCACCTGACTCCAGTCAGAATGACCATCAACCAAAAGTGTACATATAGTAAATGCTGGAGAGGGTGTGGAGAAAAAGGAACCCTCCTACACTGTAGTGGGAATATGAATTGGTGCAGCCACTATGGAGAACAGTATGGAGGGTCCTTAAAAAACTAGGGTTACCATATGATCCAGCAATACCACTCCTGAGCACAGACCCAGAGAAAACTATAATTTGAAAAGACACACGCACCCCAGTGTTCATAGCAGCACTATTCACAATAGCCAAGACATGAAAACAACGTAAATGTCCATCAGCAGATGAATGGATAAAGAAGATGTGGTATGTATGTGTGTACACACACACACACACACACACACACTGGAATATTACTCAGCCATAAAAAAAAGAATGAAATAATGCCATTTACAGCAATATGGACGGACCTAGAGATTATCATACTAAGTGAAGTAAACCAGACAGAGAAAGACAAATATCATATGCTATCACTTATATGTGGAATCTAAAATAATAAAGGATACAACTGAATTTATTTACAAACAGAAATAGAATACTAAGTGAAGTAAACCAGACAGAGAAAGACAAATATCATATGCTATCACTTATATGTGGAATCTAAAATAATAAAGGATACAACTGAATTTATTTACAAAACAGAAATAGACCCACAGACATAGAAAACAAACTTATGGTTACCAAAGGGGAAAGGGTTGGGGGGGGCAGGGAGAGATAAATTAGGAGTTTGGGATGAACAGATACACGCTACTATATATAAAATAGATAAACAACAAGGACCTACTGTACAGCACAGGGAACTATACTCAATATTTTGTAAGGACCTATATGGGAAAAGAATCACATCGGGTATTCTTAAATGCCTGCATCATTAAGAGGCAGAGGGTGGTTAGCACGACACTCACCCTTCTGTAGAGGTCAAGAGAACGTCGGGCTGCCTGGCTCCAGCCTCGGCAGTCCCGGCCGGGCCTTCGCTCTTTACTTCCTTCCCTGGGCTTGGGGCCTCTCCTGCCTTCTCTTTCTCCAGGGAACTTGGCTCTGCCCCATCCGTCTCCAGGAATGAAGGGCTTGAAGTATCTAGCGTCCACGTGGGAAGAACGCTGCCCGGGTGGTGGCTCCAGAGCTGCGGGCTGCCTTCCTGGGAGGACAGGGGGCTGGGCCGGGGGCTGGGGCCTCTGGCCTCAGACTCAGGGCTGCTCGGCTCCGGGGAAGAGGCTGGGCTCCCCCCGGGGACAGGGGACACGGTGCAGGGAGCAGACTCCTGGGCACACTCCGCGTGCCTGTCACCTGAGGAAGAGTATAGAGTGAAGCTGGCACGGGACGAGGGGCAGGCTGAGGGCCAAGGGGCAGAGCCAGGGAGCAGCCTGGGCTGCCACCCCCAGCAGCTCCCCCGTCCCAGGGCTCCTCCCTGGAGCTGCACATTCTGTCCCCTGTCGGGCAGTGACCCACCACACGTAGGGACAGCGGGCAGACGACTCCCAGAACTTCAGCCTCAAGGCAACCGGGGTTTCAGGGCTTGCTAAACCACTGAGACCCAGGCATCCAAAAGGCTGGGACTTTTGTACATTTCTTCATTTACCCTACGAGGTGAGTATTTTAAAACCCATCGTACTGATGAAATCACAGAGGCAGAAGCAAGACTTAAGCCCAAGTCTGTCTGGCTCCAACACAAAACAAGGGGACTCCTTAATGACACCCCTGGGGAATGCCCTCTGTCCCCACTCCAGATTCCAAAGCCTCCAACCACCCAATTTCCCAGACCCCATATTGGATCTCACCTCTGTCCTGGGGGTGAAGAGGCCCCTGGGGCCAGGAAGGAACCTCCTTGGTCTGCCAGCTCTCGGGACTTGGCAGAGCCTATTGAGAGAGACAGGACGCATCTGTGAGCCCTGGAGGCACTGAGAGGTGAAGGGGGCAGTGAAGGCATGGGGAAGGAGAGGGAGGGAAGAGGGGCCATGAGTATACGGGGCCTCCCCCTCCCTGCTGTCCTCCCACCCAGACCTCACACCCTGGTCTGGGCCTCAGTTCAGAAGTGGCACCCCAGATGGGACCCACATCCTAGGGGTGCTGGTGCTGGGCCCTGGAAATCACTGGCTTCATGTTCCTTCTTTACAGATGGAAAAGTTGAGGCCCAGAGAGGGGAAGTGACTTGCCCAAGGTTGCATAGGATATGTGGCAGGGCTGGCATCAGATCCCACACGTTCTGTTTCCCAGGTCAATGTTTTGTCCACACAGGATGCTGCAGACGGGGCAGGGGCAAGACTGTCTCCCAGAGGGTTCTAGGGAAGAAAAGGAGAAGGGAGAGGTTTGCCCGAGGGAAACTGCTCCCAGGGCCTTCCCGACACCCTTCCAGCCTTGGGGCCTCATCCATGCTCACTGACTTCCAGTCTTCTCTGCTCTGTCTGCTCAGATGGCCCTGTCTCATGCAGCATCTGCCCAAGGAGGGGCTGTGCTGTAGAGAGGGGGACAGCCCCCAGGCACTGGGCTGGGCCCTGCCATCCCAGATGAGCGCAAATGGCCAGCTCCCAGGACAGGGCTCCCAGGCCTCCCTCTGAGGACTCCAGGGGCCCTAGAGCAACCAGGCCCCAGAATGCACATCACAGGACACAGGCACAGCTGCCCTGCACAGGGACCCCAGCCTGTGGGTGGAGGGGCCTGGGCAGTGTCAGCAGCTCCTCTGATCTCGGGGTCAGCTGAGAGAGCTGCTCTGGTTATGAGCTCTTCCCCGTTGTTCTCTGGGGCCACAGAGATTAGAAAGTTACAGCCCTGCTCTGCCATCTTGAGCTTCCTTATCTCTTAAGCAGAGGCCTCCCTGGGAAAAATGTGCTCGCATAAGTTGTCCCTACAACTTGTGCCAGTTGATACCAAGACCTCTGCCATTGTCACGTGGGGCCTGATCGGGTGACACTGGATGCACTGAAAGACGGTGAGCTAAAAGTAATAAAATGCTGAAATCTCTCCCCAAAAGAGAGGACTCTTAAAGCAGACATCTCCCCACCAGGGGCAGAGGTCACCCCAGCAGGCTGAGCCCTGCCCTGTTACAGTTGGGAATGTCTTCAAGGTGGGAGGGGGAGAGCCCGAGGTTGGCCTGGAACACGCCGCAACCGGAGGAGCTGTTTGTTCTCCAAGTGTGTCCACATGCAGCCCCTTGGAGCTGGCGAGATGGGAGACATCTGTGCCTTAACATTAATTGCCATCATGTTCAGTTGACAGGATGGCGCCCGTAAAATTTCCTCTAATTCTGAAGGCCACACTGGGCCTGCCTTTCTGCACTATTGCTCCAGGATCCCCAAAGGCCCCAGCACCTGGGAAGAGAGTTCTGGGCCTGGTGACCACAGAGGAAGGCCCTTCCTTGCGTGTCCCCACGCACAGCCTGGGGCTGGCTCCCAGGGCTCTGCTTACCTCGCTCTCCTGGCCGGGCGGTGCTGTGGGAGCCCCCTGGGTGGTGCCCGCCACAGCCCAGGAGGAGGGGTGCAGCCTGTAGGTGGGCACAGGGAATGGCGGTGTGGCGTGCCCGCTGGGATCCACTGCGCTGTCCCCCAGATCCGGCTCCCTGCCCAGCTCCCACAGCACGCTGCCTCCTGGCGGTGAGGGCTCCAGGCTCTGAGGGCTCTGGGGCCCAGTCCTCACATCTGCGCAGGGATCTGAGAACCCCCAGGAAAAGCGCGCTTCAGACACACTGGGGGCCGGGGAAGGGCTCTCCAGGAAGAGGGGGTTGTCGAAGAATATGCTCTCTTCCTCGGGACCCCACTCCGGGGACGAGTCTGGCGCACCCTCCCTCGGCCATGCCGGCTTCCGGTTCTCCCCTTCAGGCCCGTTGCTATCTTCCCCCGAGGCCCCGTGCACGTCCACGGGTCCGCTGGGGTGGAGGCCTGAGTCCTGGGGTCCCACTGGGCTGGAGGGGAAAGCAGGGAGGTCGGGAGACGCCGTGGGGAGGCAGCATCTCAGCTCAGCTCTGATCCCTTCCGTCTTCTCTAGCTCCTCCTGAAGGTCCAGGACGCACATCTGGGCCTGCAGGATGCCCGCCCAGAACACCACCTGGGCGGACGTGCTCTGGCTCTGCCTTGGGCTCCCCAGAGGATGGCTGTCCCGGGGTGACCCGGGGGATGCTGCTTTCTGCCCTGCCCGCTCCTGGGAAGAGCCGCTCCCTGGGTACGTGGGCTCTGGGCCGGAGCCCCTGGGATGAACATCTCGCCTCGTGGAATCAGGAGGGTCAGAGGCCCAGGTCTGCTCCCCGCAAGGTCCGAGAGGGCCAGGGCAACCGCGTGTCTGCCTCAGGTGTGCTGCTGGGTGGAGCTGCATGTGGTCTCCCAAACAGATGTCGAGAAATTCCATGGGTTTGGGGTGTTCACAGAGTTCGTCGTCACCCATCATCCACAGAGTGCAAGCTGCACAGGAGTCCCCAGAAGCATCCGCCTTCACAAGCCCATTGTGTTGATTAGAGGGATCGCCGGCCAGGGGGGTGACTGGGACCCCACATCTACCCTGGAAGTACCCAAAGCAAAGGCAGGTTAGCGCTGGGCTCTCAGCCCCTGGAAGCATACGTCCGGTGAGTTACACGTGGTTTCGAGTGCCTGCCATATCCATAGCCCGGGCCAAGGGCCGCTGCCCTCCGCAGCCCTGCGGGGGTGAGAAGTGTGCCATACACACCGTCTGACCCACAACTGCAACTGCTCGCACCTGCCCCAGAGACACTCGTCTGGTGACTGAGGGTGGCCCAAGTGGCTGAGCTGAAAGAGATGAACTGGCCAAGCCAGACCCTTCTTTGGGGAACCTGGATTGGAGAATGTCAAGGCTAAGATGGTTGGTAGCAGGAGCAGAAGGTGGAAATGTCTCAAAATAGTGGGAAAGGGAGGAGGGGGAGGGGGAGGGGAAAAATAGCAGCAAACCAAAAAAAGGATGGGGAAACCAATGTACGTGGGAGCCAAACAGACATGGACTAGAGGTGAGGGGAATGGGACAGACTCGAGGGAGAAGCAGGCAGCCAGGAAAGAAAGGCCACAGCTGGTCTTGTTTCCACCTCCCAAGGCTCCTGTCTTTGGGGGCCTGCATCCTTACCACAGCTCACTGGCCGGTTCTCAGTTACAGCCATGCAGTCTGGCTCAGGAGGAAGCTAAGCCTGGGCGGCTGCAGGAGGATGTTTCAGCCCATGGGGCAGACCTGCCGCACAGGCAGGAGACTGCTGCCTTTTGGGGAGCGGGAAGCTGGGGCTGCCCCACACCTGCTCAGAGCTGCCCGGTGCATCGGCCACATTGGCACTCTGAGCCGGGCCTAATGGGATGCGGCCAAGGATTCTCATGGGGCATTTTCTAGAAGCGTGCATCTCCATCCCCTGCATGTGGTGCCCAGGTTACAGGGCTTTCGGGGTGGCCCTGCTTCTTCAGTACAACTGGCTTGTTCTGATCCTGTGGACACTGTGAAACTCGTAACTCGACCTGTTTTCCCTCGGTACTGGCCCTCAGGAAGTGTAGGTTAAGTCCGCAGGCCCTATGCACGCATTTCCTGTATTAAGTGCACCCCAGACCATGTCACAGCTTTTATTTTCCCTTTGCCTCACTTTCCTCACTCACATATCTCTATTTTGAGGACTGTGTGTACGTGTAAGCCATTCTGAAATATTTGGAGGAACAAAAGCACACACAGGCGTGAACACACACACACACACACACACACACACCCCTGCTCCTGACTTGTAACCATGCGTAACTTCCTGATACTCACTCCCACCTACCTCATGGCCGACCACGAGACACTCAATCAACGGGAACACTCAGAGCTGGGAAACAAAAGCTGGGTGGGGTTCTTCTGTTTAAGGTCACCAAGAAAGCTCGGCCGGGCACTGTTCCTTCTTTCAGGAGGCGCCCGAGAGAAACGAGAAAGGACCCGCACGAATTTCGGTTTCTAACTCCCCTTGAAAGCATCCTCCCAAAAGTCTCTCAAAGGGTAAGCTGCGAAAGTGGCATGGACATATACACACTACCAAACGTAAAATCGACAGCTAGTGGGAAGCAGCCACATAGCACAGGGAGATCAGCTCGGGGCTTTGTGACCACCTAGAGGGCTGGGATAGGGAGGGAGGGAGGGAGATGCAAGAGGGAAGAGATATGGGAACATGTATATGTATAACTGATTCACTTTGTTATAAAGCAGAAACTAACACACCATTGTAAAGCAATTATGCTCCAATAAAGATGTTAAAAAAAGAAAAAAGTCTCTCAAAACCAGAAGCCCTTTCTGGGCTTTTACTTCTCCCTGTGTTCCAATCCTCATATTCTTCACTGTGAGCACAGCAAGAAACTGTAATTGCTGAATCGGGGCCTCAGGATTCGGAAGCTTTAGCCCCCAGGAAGGGCCCATCTACCACTGAGTTCTCAGCTGGCCTCCCCAGTAGACTGGGACTTGCCAAGAGGTGGGGCCGTTTCTTACTTTTAATCTTGTATTTGATGCCCTGAAGCCAATAGATTTGAACTCTGCTCCTCCTATGGGTCTCCAACTCCTTTAGCTCAGCCTCAGTCATCATTCGAGGCTCTTTCTCTCCATCCCAGGGGAGAGCTCTGCTATAGTCCTATCACCAAGAGAGAGGGAGGGAGTGCACCCAGAACCCACTGTCTATACTCGGGCAAGCCCTCTGGATCCAACCTCCCTCCCCAGGCCTGCCTGGAGAATGATCAAGTGTGAGAAAGGAGGTGAGACACACACACACCCGCCGCCCCCCCCCCCCCCCCGCCGATGCAGGGGACATGGGTTTGTGCCCCGGTCCGGGAAGATCCCACATGCCGTGGAGCGACTGGACTCGTGAGCCACGGCCGCTGGGCCTGCACGTCCGGAGCCTGTGCTCCGCAATGGGAGAGGCCACAACCGTGA